CGGAGGCTCCCCTCCAGCACAGCCTGGTTAGCTGACGGGCATGTGTTGGCCCTTCAGCAGCAACCAGCAGGGCCTCGCGGGAGCAGTCTCCTGAAACGTCACCTGGAAACAGCTGGGACCCAGGCCTGTGCCCTCACCTCTTCCTTTCCCTCCTCCCAGGTGGATAGAGGTGTTCATCCCTAAGTTTTCCACATCTACCTCCTATGACCTGGAAACCGTGCTCCCGAAGATGGGCATCCGGGACGCCTTTGACAAAAACGCCGATTTTTCTGGAATCACAAAGAAAGGCTTCCTGAAAGTTTCCAAAGTGAGTTGGTCAATGAGAATATTCGCATCTGAGCCTGAGTGGGAAGGGCCCATAGAGACCGACCGATCGAGCACGCTCACCTCACGGACCCAGAAACAGAGTCCCCAGGAGGCGAAGAGACTTCTCTGTGGCAGAGACAGGGCCGCCTGGCATGGCGGCCAGGCCTGCTGCTCCGTGGCCATCACACCTCCCACACACCGTTATCCCTCGCCAGACAAGTGCTCCTAGAGTTCAACGGCAGTTTCCTGAGAACCCGGCACCGCCCACACCTGCTGCAGATGAGCAAGTGCCCCCTGGAGCCCAGGCCCTCACACTGGGGCCCTAATGTGACTGCCCCTGGCCATTAGTGCCCTGTGATGTAAAACAAGAAAGCAAGGAAACTAGGAAGAGAGGGAGCTGACTTCCACAATGTAGGATATTGGACCTAAACATTCAGATTTCTGATTCTCTTGAAACAAATCATTGAGCACAATTCCCAAGTAGTCAGGCCAAACCTCTACACAGTGGCCTCTGGCTGGGGCTGAGCCGGGAGCACCCCTTTTAGGTGGAGGGCACCCTCCAGGTTCCCCGTGGACCCCACACTCTACAACGGGTCTCCTCGTCCCACTGGGTCACCTGTCTAATGCCTGTCTGCGGGGGTTTCTGATCCCTGACCTAAAATTTGTTTTCGTAACAGAGTGCAATGCTCCGAAGCGGCCCTGGGCCACTGAACGGGGCCTTTGTCACTGGTGTCCAGGGAAGGAGTACAGATTCCACAAGAATATGATGGGCAGCTCAGGCCGGGTGGTTCAGTGGGTTGGAGTGTTGTCCCATACACCAAAAAGGTTGTGGGTTTGATTCCTGTGCAGGGCATATACCTAGGTTGTGGGTTCAATTCCCGGTCAGGGGGGATATGGGAGGTAATCAGTCTCCCTCTCTCTCTCTCTCTCTCTCTCTCTTTCCCCCCCCTATTCCCCTCTCTCTAAAATCAATAAACATATCCTTGAGTGAGGACAAAAAATATTATGAGCACTATGAACCCATGTGCACATATGAAAACAACGACTGTGACTGTTGGGAGTCACAGGACCCTGAGGCTGGCAGTGCATGAGCCCAGCGTAAGGATCTCTTGTCTAGAAGACCAAGTAGGGTGCGACAGTCAGTAGCACCTGACCGCCATGCCCCCGCCACGGCTGCGGCAATCACTCTGGTATGCACACTTCCTAGATCTCCTTCAGTTCGTCAAACAACCCCGTGGGATGCATGCAATTATTATCGGCCTTTCATCGATTTGGAAAGTGAAGCACGCGACCTCTAAATAACTTTTGCAACAATGAGTGGCGGAACTGGGACTCAAACCTAGGTCTTTCTGGGCTGTACTGGTAACCAGTCAACTCCATGCCTAAGAGCCAACTGATCAGCGGCAAGCCTCAGGCCAGGCACTTGGCCTCTGGGGACGTGGGGGTGGAGGGTGGGGGTGGAGGTGTCCCCATTCCCAGGCAAAACATCAAAGTTCAGGTTTTTTCAACCATGTCGGTGTCTGTTTTTCCCTCGACAGGTCTCCCACCGGGCGGTGGTGGACGTCAGTGAGTCGGGCACCAAGGCCGCGGCGGCCACGGCCACCAAGCTCACCGCCCGCTCCAAAGACAGCTCCTCCCACACCGTCTGCTTCAACAGGCCCTTCCTGCTGCTGATCGTGGGCAGCGCTGCGCAGACCACGCTCTTCCTGGGCAAAGTGGAAGATCCCACCCAGTTCCCAGCGGGGAAAGGCCTTTCTCGGATGACACGATAACAACGCACAGGAAATAAACAAACCGCGTGGCCTGCAGATCCTGGGGACAGGGGGACGGGCCTCTGTGTGAGGGTCCACCTGACCCCGCGGAGCTGCATGTGCTGCCCGAGGCTCAGTCACCCCAATCAGCAGAGATCCAGTCACAGACCAAGCCCCTGAGCCCCGGCACACCCCCTTCCATGCTCTCCCAGGCGGCTGGCTTGCTGGGGTGTGTCTGGGTTGGTATATTTCCATTCCTTAGCCCCTGGGGGTGGTGACATGCAGGCCAGTGGCCTGTACTTCAGAATCACAGCAATAAACCTAAAACGTGAGTCTGGCCGCACAGCGCTCCCATGCGCCCCCAGGGTGTGGATTTGAGAGTGGTCTGGTGGGTAAGTCACAGAGGCCAGGCTGTTGTTATGCGGCATTTCAGTGGCTGCCTGAATTCATCTATTCATTCAACAAAAACACACTGAGCACCTCATACGTGCCAGGAGTGAATCAGGCAGACAGGCTCCCGGTTTGGGGACACAGATGGGAGTGGTAGACCACCTCCGCCCTGAGGAAATGAAACCTGTAAATGCATGTGGTTGTACCAGCATTCGGAGTGCTGGGAAGGCCCTCACTAGGACGGTCGGATGAGGGGGAAAAGGCGGCGAGGGGGTGCTTCTGTGAGCACAGGCCCGTCGGAGGGACAGAAAGAGGCGCTGTGGCTGTGGTACTTGAACAAGGTCAGATGGCATCAGGCGTCGATGGCCAAGGAAAGGGGTCTGGGTTTGGTGGGAGGTGCCATTAAACCGGCTGAGTTTCTCCAACAGGAAGACGAGGGTTAGTGTCCGGGTTGGGAAGACCTTTCTGGGTGCTCACCTCGGGGTTCCATCCAGACTGGCCGCGGCAGCTGCCCTCTTGGCTCTGACACGGTCGCGCGCGCACACAGGGCCCTCGGGTGCTCGGCCTCCTCCCTGTTGCTTGGAGGGACCGTGGCCTGCCCCTCCCGCTGACTCCTCAGCCTCATGCGTGGGGCGAGGGGGCGAGGGGGCGAGGGGCCTCGGGGGTTCCCCGCACAGGCTTCTCCGCCCTCCTCTGCCCGTTGGCTGCTCTGGCTCCTTCCCCTCCCGCCCGGCATGACCCAGGGTGACACCGCAGCCTCCAGTGGAGCCCGGGGTTCCGGGGGCCCATGCCTACACCCCGATGTGTTGAGGGCCGCTTGGTGGCGTTTCCAAGCTCTTTTACAAAGAAAGAAAGAAAGGAAGGAAGGGAGGAAGGGAGGAAGGGAGGAAGGGAGGGAGGGAGGGAGGAAGGGAGGAAGGGAGGAAGGGAGGAAGGGAGGAAGGGAGGAGAGGGAGGGAGGAGAGGAGGGAGGGAGGAAGGGAGGAAGGGAGGAAGGAAGGAAGAAAGAAAGGAAGAAAGGAAGGAAGGAAGGAAGGAGGAAGGAAGGAAGGAAGGAAGGAAGGAAGAAGAAAGAAAGAAAGAAAGAAAGAAAGAAAGAAAGAAGAAGAAAGAAAGAGAAGAGAGAGAGAAAGAGAAAGAAGAGAGAGAGAAGAAGAAGAAAGAAAGAAAGAAAGAAGAAAGAAAGAGAGAGGAAGAAAGAAAGAAAGAAAGGAAGAAAGAAAGGAAGAAAGAAAACGGAGTATGCTAAGAAGCTTCTAGAAATCGCTCCCCTCCCCCACTCACAGGAGAGAGCAGCTGACCCAAGGCAGGCCTGGGCCCCGGACTGAAGCCCAGACGTGGGGCTGCCCACTGTCCCTCTCCTGGCTGCGGGGCCAAACCTCACTCCTGCACAGCGCTCGCCTCTGTCGACAGGATCATATGATTATTATGCTTCATGGCCGCCGGGTGGGAGGGGTGTGGGCGATGGACGAAAAGATGAGGAGGGTTGAGAAGTACCCCTGCCAGGTATTATATTATTGATCACAAGGAGATTAACATTTCAATTGGTGGGTAAGGCTGACTGCCCTTCCATAATGTGGGTGGGCCGCATCCAATCAGTTGAAGGTCTTCATTGAGAAAAGACCGACCTGCCGGGAGCAAGAGGGAATCTACCAGCAGAGGCCTTGGGCCCTGAACTGCAGCATCCTCTCTTCTGGGCCTCCCGCCTGATGGCCATCCTCCGATATCAGAGAACCAGTTCCATACACCCATCTCTCTCCCTCTCTGCTCGCCCTGGCCGGGCACTGCACATCATGCTTTGTCCCCCCACAGCTCTGCAAGGTGGGCTGTACAGAATCCAAAACAGCACCTCCCAGTGTCTTCTTCCCTGCCACGTGGGAAGGTATGTAAAGGGCCAGGTAGTTTACGTGCCAGCCAAGAGTAACTGGTTTCTCCTCAGTGAATGCTCTCATTCATTCAAACAACAACCGTGTCTTCATGAAACAAGGCTCACAGCACTGCATGGACCCACAGGTGGGGTTTCAAACATTGGTAGGTGTAGCAGACCCCCTTGGGGCCTGGCCGGATGTCCTTGGGTCTGACCTTGAGCGTCCATGGCTCCCACCTGGGCTTTCTTGTGCCTCACACACCAGACAGGCCAGAGGCATGCAGCCCCCGCAGGCTCAGACTCAGCCTGGGAGGGAAGGGAGCCTTTACGTCTCCCAAGTGCCTCTTGATTAGAACCACTGCACCAGCCCGACCAGCTTTCCTTTCGCTTCATGGGTGTGATTAAACACTTCTTCTTAACAGTGATTTGTTTTCATTATAAAGAAGATACATGCTCTTTGTGAGAAATTAGGAGAATCTAAATGTACACAAAGAAGAACATAAAAGTCACCTCCATCCTGTCACCTCAAGATTCACTCATAAACAGATACTCATCTGGTTCTAGGCTTGGCTCTAGAACCGGGGACACGCGGTGAGCGGGTCATGATCCACTTTACGGAGCTCTTAGGAGAGGGGAGAGGAGGGGAGGGGAAAGAGGGGAGGGTAGGACACTTTGCTCTGTTTTCTGAGTTCCCTCCCAGGCTGTTCTCTGTGCACGGACCCTGTTTATTTGAAGTCTTAGGGAAGCACTGAGTGGTCAGAGGTAAGGGCTTTGGCTGGAGAGGCAGACAGTCTCTGAGTGGCCCCAGCACCCAGGTTACGGCATTCAGTTAAGTTCACAGAGCCTCAGTTTCCCTTCTGTGAAGTAGGGAACGATTGTGCCTCTCTCACATTCCTTTTTTCCAGCTGTACTGGGAAGCACTCGCCACGCATCGCTGTGTAAGTTTAAGGTTTACGGCAGGATGGATTGAGTCACACATGCTATGCATGCTGGCGGGGCAGGCTGAGTTAGCATCTCGCATTCCTAGGTGAGGGCGCTGCTTAAGGACCGCTGCCCGGAGCACACAGCACCCGTAAAGGATGGACAGCAATGTCCCCCGACCCCTGCCTTCAGCACCCTTGGCCGCCGGCAGCACCCATGTCAGAATCTCCGCCAACCCAGCGGGTCCAGATCATACTCGCTGTTTGCTGCTGGGCCGGCGGGATGGATACGTGAAAAAAGAGGTCCCTTCCTGTTTCCTAATCACTCAGGTCCCTTCCTGGTTCCAGGAACTGGCCAGACAAATATTGACCCGGCTGCTGTGATCTGCAAACACTATTCTCCTGTGGTTGGAGGCCGCGCAGCACTGAAGACCAGGGCCCGCCTGGCACCTCTCTGTGAGTCCCATATGCATGGGGAATGAAGGCAAGGGCCTCTCTCTCTCTCTCTCTCTCTCTCTCTCTCTCTCTCTCTCTCTCTCTCTATCTATCTATCTCTGTCTGGCTTTAGCAGCAGGGATGGGAGGCCCGAGTCCCCCTAAAGGAGAAAACGCCATGATGTATTCTTCTAAGGGTTGAAGGAGGAACCTCAGGTTTTAAATAACCTTTTATGAAAAACTTGGTCTTCAACATTTTTGAGAGAGGAACTCCCAGTAATGCTGGCAGACAGAGGAGAAAACAGAACAATGCAGCCCAAAGCCAGATGACAGCGCTGACGCAGCAGATGTCCTAGGGGCCCTGTTGTTTGAAAAGGGCCCTCTGGGAGCCTGGTCTGGATCTGACCCTCCCTCACCCGGCAGGTCCCTGGGCCCCGCGTCTGGGTATCTCCACATGCACAGCAGGGATGCGAATGCCTATGGCTTAAGGTTCTCCTACCGAAAGGGCATGTAGCCAGTGTTTCTCAAAGGGGGCATCTGGGCAGGACTACTCTCCAGCACACAGGGCAGCCGGCCTTTCAGAGCATCCTGTCCCCCACTGGACTCCAACAGCACCCCTGCTCCATCTGAGATGGTCCCAGACACTCCCCCCTCTGCACTCACCCTCCCCTGCATTGCAGGACACCTCCGGCTGGGACCACTGGTACGATGCGTCTGATATCCCCACAAATAAACAGGACGTGGGCACACTGTAGTTAATGAGTGCAGCGCTTCACTTCCTCTGGGTCTCTCTGGAAATGGAAGAGGCAGGTTGGGTGGAGTTACCCCGCCTCAGCAGAGGGTGAGATGAACACTGCGCACACTCCTGTGCCAGACGCCAGGCCACGGCAGGTCCTGGAAGCCAACGTGACCCGCCCGGAGGCAGGCATTCCATTTGCATTTTGCAAATGGGGACCCCGTGGCTCAGAGAGGTTCCTTTGCACAGTGTCGCTCAGTGAGTGACTGCGGGGCCTTGATCCAGACCCAGGCCTGGCAGCAGCTCCGTCCCCTTTGGGACCAGACCCTTCAGCGAGTCCGGGACGCCTGGTGAGAGTAGGTAGGAAATGGTAGCCCACTCAATGGGACAGGGAGCATAAGCCAGAGACAGTTTCGTCATAGTTGTATTTCTTGTTTTCCCCTGGGCAGACCAAATTTTCAACTGCTCTGCTTCTTCCAAATCCCCCTCAAAAGAAAGCTCACGGTGAGCGGAGGGTGGTGAGCAAGCCACAGCGGCAGAGCTGCAGGCAGGCTGTGGTCTTGGAGCCGCACAGGCCTCTGACCGGCGTTTCAACATCATAGTGTTTCAACATCACCAACACCACGGCTGCATTCATCTCCTGACCACTGGCCTTGGGGTTCGGCAGGGCATTTAGGGCACAGGCTCTGTAGGCACCTGCAGAAATATGGTGTCTCCCACACCACCGTGGCGCTGGTAATCTATCCAGAGGCCACTGGTCCGGGCAAATGGTATTCAGGTGCTGATTAGGACACACACACAATCAGGACAGGTGGACAAGGGCCGCCGGGATGGAAGGGGGTGGTGCAAGTGTCCGTTTTGAAGGGAGCAGGGGACGGCACTCTCCTCACTGGGACATCAGGTGCGGATTCCGGTGGCAGCCTGGGCTCTGTGAGCACCTGGGGGGGTGTTGAGACCCTGAGAGGGGCGGGGCACTAGACAGGGCAGGGCGAGCAGAGACAGGCATGTCTCCACTGCAGCTTCCCCTCAAGCTGAGCTGGCTCCTCAGGGTGGAGCCTGAAGCAGGAGAGACGCTGGACTAGTGGCCTCAGCTGTCATAACCCAGGACTGCAGACGGGGCGGCTTCAACCACAGAAATGCACTGTCTCCTGGTTCTGGAGCCAGAAGGCCAAGGTCAAGGTGTGGGCGGGGCTGTTCCTTCTGCGCTGAGGGAGGCCGTGTGGGCCTCTCCGGTCTCTGGCTGTTTGCTGGGAACCGGGCTTGTCCATCTCTGCCTTCCTCTCACGGCGTTCTCCCGAATGTGTCCAGGTCTAAGTTCCCCTTGCTATCAGGACGCAGTCTTATTGGGTCAGGGCCAGTCTAAGGACAGCGTAACTAGTTACTACATCTCAGTGATCTCCAAACAGAATCACACTCCCAGACACTGGGGATCAGGACTTAAGCATATGAATGGGGGGCGGGGAGGGCACAATGAAACCCATAACAGAAATCTTTCCAAAATCTCTGCATCAATTAAGATAGAGTTTGAGCCACGGCATGTGACAAGAGGTTCTCGCGGTAACGAGCCTGATGGAGGCAGAGGTGATCTCTCTCTCACGTCAGCCCCCAGGCTCCATCCATCTCTGGCGAGGCTCCCTCAAAGGCTGCCCTCATCCACAAGGCCCCCGAGGCTGCCCATCACAGCCACACTCCGGCTATGGAAGACCAACGTGGAGAGGGCACGCCTCCCCCTGCCGGGGCCTGTCCCAGGAGTTACACACACTTTCCTCTCCTCTCCGACTGACTGGCGAGATTATAGCTCATGGTCACACCCAGATGCAAAGGAGGCCCAGCAACACGCATTGCCACCATGTCCTAAACATTCGCTCAGGAGTTCTGAGCATCATTCTCATCTCGTTAAAACGTAATGAATTAGAGGAATGACTGGAAAGAAGGGAAAAAAGAAAGAGAGGGGGGAGGGGGAGGGGGGAGGGAGGAAAGATGGATGCAGGGAAAACAGACCATGGGAGGGAGGGAGGGAAGGTGGGAGGGGACCATGGAAGTTGCTTTTATAACCCAGAGTCCTTTTCTCAGCAACATCCTGTAACGTATCAATGTGTAGAGCAGACAAAGGCCCCCACTCTGACTGAAGCCTTGGGGGGAAGGGTCCCGAGCCCGGCTGCTCCCCCTCCCTCATCCTCTGCAGGGCCCTCATGACCCTGTGGGATACAGTCTGGATGTGAGGTTTGTGGAGGGAGCAATGGGGAGCTGTGGCGTCACTGAGTGATGTGCTCAACCTCTTGTTTTCAGAGGATGGAGCCAGCGTGGCTGTGGCTGTGGCTGCTGGGAGCAGGGATCCTGGCCTCTGCCCATGGAGACAAGAGTCCGGGGTTGCCTCAAGCCTCCAGGGGTCGGCTCCCAGAGCCAGCGCCCGCCTACCGCCAAGTCACACCCACCATCACCAGCTTTGCTTTGCGCGTGTACAAGCAGCTGGCAGCGCAAACCCCAGGAAACATCCTCTTCTCCCCGGTGAGCATCGCCAGCACCCTGGCCCTGCTCTCTCTCGGGGCCCAAGCCGACACCTCGACCCAGATCCTGCAGGGCCTGGGCTTTAACCTCACGGAGACCCCGCGGGCCAGCATCCACCGCGGCTTCCAGAGCCTCATCCACGCCCTTGGCCTGCCCAGTCCCAAACTGGAGCTGAAAGTAGGCCACTCCCTGTTCCTGGACAAGCAGCTGAAGCCTCGGCAGCGCTTTCTGGACGACATCAGGGAGCTGTATGGAGCCGTGGCTTTCTCTGTTAACCTCACGGATTCTGCCACCGCCTGGAGGCAGATGAATGACTACGTGAGGAAGCAAACGTACGGGCAGGTGGTGGACGGCCTGCAGGAGTTCAGCGAGGACACGCCCATGGTTCTCCTGAACTACATCTTCTTCAAAGGTGAGTGCTAGCCTGGCAGACTGATCACTTCCTCCACCTCCAGCTCCGCCCACCACCTCGGCCCCACCCTCCACCTCTAGCCTCTCCCTCAAAGACACCATCCTAAAGTCACAAATGTTTCTTAAGGCAGTGACCCCTGCATCCTATAATAAAAGGCTAATACGCAAATCAACCGAACAGTGGAATGACCTGTCATAATGACATGCACTGACCACCAGAGGGCAGACACTCAATGCAGGAGCTGCCCCCTGGTGGTCAGTGCGCCACCAGAAGCCAGGCTCACAGCTGCGAGCCCAGCGGCAGTGGTGGGAGAGGCTCCAGGGCAGTGCTAAGGATGTCTGATTGCTGGCTTAGAGACACTCCCGGCAGGGGCTCCCGGACTGTGAGAGGGCGCAGGCCCGGCTGAGGGACCCTGCCCTGAGTGCATGAATTTTATGTACCGGCCCTATAGTATTTCAATAATGTTCTTATACCACTACTTCTTCATTTGCAAATAGTTGGTTTCTCTTGCTATTTTTTCTATTCTATTTTTATTCTGATTCTTTTTGTTATACACTCAGTCTCACTTTTCTATTAACAATTCAATTTTAGAAAGATGTCTTTTACTTATTCATATATTTTTATTTCAGAGAGGAATGAGGAGGGAGAGAGAGAGAGAAACATCAATGATGAGAATCATCGCTCAGCTGCCTTCTGCACGTCCTCTACTAGGGATTGAGCCCACAAGCCCGGCACATGCCCTGACTGGGAATTGAACTGTGACCTCCTGGTTCATAGGTCAACGCTCAACCACTGAGCAACACCAGCCGGGCAAATATATTATTTTATATTATTATTGATTTCAAACATACAGAAATATACAAAGAAAAATATAAAACCACCATACACTCCCCCCACCAAGAATGAAAACATTAGCATTTTACCATTTGATTCATACTTTTAAAAAAATCTGACAGATAAAGTTCAATTTCTTTTTAATGCTTCCCTCGTCCCCTTTCCTTCCCTCTGTCCCTCCCGGAGGCCAGGACTGTCCTCGGGCAGGTGTGCATCCCCCTCACCCATGTGTGTGCGCCGAGAGCTCATTAAGGGTGTGTACATCAGTTACACACTAATGTGTGTAAAGATTTTACACAAATGCTCTCATCCTGTATTATTTCACACTTATGTGTTAGTGTCATTACCATGTTATAATTTATATAATTCTGACTGTTGCATTGAACATGTCACAACTTTTGTTTTTGTTTTTACTTCAGTTCTTTCCTGAATTCATACATATATCTTTATACTTTTCATGCTTTTTGTTTTTACCTCATGTTGTTTCCTATTCCGAGGTCCCATCCATGACCTACCTTACACTCAGTCATGTCAGTTTAGGCTCCTCTTGGCGGGGACAGCTTCTCAGCCTCTCCTTGCCTTTAATGGCCATGCCGACGGGGAGGAGGACTGCCAGGTGTTTCGTAGAATACCCTCAGGGGGGATTTGTTTGATGTTTTTCCCAGGAGGAAGGCTGGCTGAGAGGACTTGGGAGATTTATGGTAGGAGACGGTTCCCCACCCGGTAGCGCAGGGTTGCACGTACGTGCGCTGTAGATGAGGAAAAAGGCAGTCACAGCTCAGTGGGAACGGCACTCTGCAGGGGGAGGGGTGGGGGCCATGGGCTCCCACAGAGACCCTCGCCCAGCCTTGGGGAGTGGTGGGAGGCTCCCTGGGAGAGAAGGAGTCTAAGCCAGACATGAAGAATGAAGCTGTAGGAGAGGCGGAGAGAAGGGGTTTCAGAAGAGACAGCAACGTAAGTAGAAGCCCGAGCTACAGAGGTACCACGTGTCCTCAGGAGTGAAGCACATTGGCTGGACTGAAACAGAAGGAACTGGGGGATGCCTGGGGGATTGCGAGCACTGCAGTAAGAAGATGAGCTGGATAGCCAGTTAGCCTGGAGGTCAAATCACCCCTGGTATTGCCGACAATCAAGGCTTAACTACAACAAGACTGCGCACAAAGACCACTAGGGGGTGCACCAAGAAAAGATAATAAAATGCGGAGACAAAGAAACAGGACGCAAATGTCAGAAATGGAAGATACAGAGCTCAAAACCACACTTTTAAGGTCTCTCAAGAACTGTCTAGAAGCTGCCGATAAACTTAGTAAGGCCCTCGAAAAAAATGGTGAGACCGCTGATAAATGTAGTGAGATCCTCAAGAAATCTAATGAGACCCTCGATGTTGTGATAAAGAACCAACTAGAAATTAAGCATACACTGACTGAAATAAAGAATATTATGCAGACACCCAACAGCAGACCAGAGGAGCGCAAGAATCAAGTCAAAGATTCGAAACGTGAAGAAGCAAAAAACACCCAACTGGAAAAGCAAAATGAAAAAAGAATCCGAAAATACGAAGATAGTGTAAGGAGCCTCTGGGACAGCTTCAAACGTACCAACATCAGAATTATAGGGGTGCCAGAAGATGAGAGAGAGCAAGATATTGAAAACCTATTTGAAGAAATAATGACAGAAAACTTCCCCCACCTGGTGAAAGAAATAGACTTACAAGTCCAGGAAGCGCAGAGAACCCCAAACAAAAGGAATCCAAAGAGGACCACACCAAGACACATCATGATTAAAATGCCAAGAGCAAAAGACAAAGAGAGAATCCTAAAAGCAGCAAGAGAAAGAAACCCAGTTACCTACAAGGGAGTACCCATACGACTGTCAGCTGATTTCTCAACAGAAACTTTGCAGGCCAGGAGGGAGTGGCAAGAAATATTCAAAGTGATGAATACCAAGAACCTACAACCAAGATTACTTTATCCAGCAAAGCTATCATTCAGAATGGAAGGTCAGATAAAGAGCTTCACAGATAAGGAAAAGCTAAAGGAGTTCATCACCACCAAACCAGTATTATATGAAATGCTGAAAGGGTATCCTTTAAGAAGAGGAAGAAGAAGAAAAAGGTAAAGATACAAATTATGAACAACAAATATGCATCTATCAACAAGTGAATCTAAGAATCAAGTGAATAAATAATCTGGTGATCATAATAGAATCAGGGACATAGAAAGGGAATGGACTGACTATTCTTGGGGGGGAAAGGGGTGTGGGAGATGCGGGAAGAGACTGGACAAAAATCGTGCACCTATGGATGAGGACAGTGGGTGGGGAGTGAGGGCGGAGAGTGGGGCGGGAACTGGGAGGAGGGGAGTTATGGGGGGGGAAAAAGAGGAACAAATGTAATAATCTGAACAATAAAGATTTAATTAAAAAAAAAAAAAGATGATGAGCCGGAGCTGTGCTGTGAGTCCTAGACTGTCTCTGGGACCCAGGATTCCCAAACAGCTGGAAGAGGGAAGGGGCATGGCCACATCGGTTTTGAGCAGGGGTCCTCAAACTTTTTAAACAGGGGGCCAGTTCACTGTCCCTCAGACAGTTGGAGGGCCGGACTATAGTTTAAAGAAAAACTATGAAGAAATTCCTATGCATACTGCACATATCTTATTTTAAAGTAAAAAAACAAACAGGAACAAATACAATATTTGTATTTGCATGTGGCCCGCGGGCCGTAGTTTGAGGACCCCTGGTTTTGAGGAAGATCAGTCTGGCTATAATGTAGAAAATGGGTTGGGGGAAGTGAGGGTTGGAGAGATAAGTTAGGACGTTCTTAAAGTGGAACAAAGTGAGGAAGAGGGTGGCCTTGGATACAGTAGTGGCTGTGGAGAGAGGATCGGCGATACTTGGTCATTGGTTGGGTGTCCTCACGGATCTATGGGTTTGTGTCCTCACGATTCTATGGGTTTTGTGTTCTCATGGTTCTATGGGTTCTGTGTCCTCACGGATCTATGGGTTTTGTGTCCCAAGCCAAGTGGAAGCATCCTTTCCAGCGCTACCAGACCCCAAAGCAAGAGAGCTTCTTCGTGAACGAGAGGACCTCCCTCCACATCCCCATGATGCACCAGAAGGAAATGCACAGGTTCCTGTACGACCAGGAGCGGGCCTGCACGGTGCTGCAGATCGAGTACAGCGGCAACGCGCTGGCCCTGCTCATCCTCCCGGACCCAGGGCAAATGCAGCAGGTGGAGGCGGCTCTGCAGCCCGAGACCCTGCGGACATGGAGCCAGCTGCTCCTGCCCAGGTAAGCGACGAGGAGCAGGACTCCGGCACACCTGGTGCAGGTCCCCGAGCAGTTCTTAACTCCAAGTGCAAGGGGCCAACCCTAGGTTAGGATGACCAGCTGTGATCTTGGGCAATTTTCTTACCTCTGGGCCTCAGATTTCCTCCCCTGTACACCGAGGCCCTGGTCACCACCACACTGGGTTGTTTGGAGGATTAGCCACGTGAATATACATGGAGCATCGAGGAGCGACCTGGTGCGTGAGAAGTACTCACCAGGGAAAGTGAGGGCTGAGTCATTCTCCGCCTTCCCGGGCATCTTTCTGCTCAGCCTCCCTTCCCTTGCTTCTCCCTTTGTCCAAATCATGATTTACTGTCAGAAGATGGTCAGCTGTGGCAAAAAAAATCAGGTCAAGGACAATTACTAAGAATAATTATGACTCTCACAGGACACTGTGAATTTCTTAAAAGTGCATCTTTTTGTTAATTAAAACATTTCTTAAAGAAATTAAAAACCAAGAAGAGCACTGTAAAATCAGATCCCAGTTTAATGGGATCGCAATCTGACCCCCTCCTGCCTCTTGCTTGTCAGTTTGTGGTTTTCTCAGTAGTTTTAGTCTTTTCCAGTTTGGCTAGACCCCTTCGAGAGCCAGCTCCTTCTTGGGGTGTGTCGTCCCTTAGGAGGCACCTGGGATGAAAGCTGGCCTTGAGTTCTAATGACCTCTGCTGCTAACAAACCACCCCAAAACGGAATGGCTTGGAAAACAACATCTACTCTCTCTCTCCATTCTGTGAGTGGATCAGCCTAGCTGGGCAGTTCTGATTTGGGGTCTCTCCTGCACTGGAGTCAGATGATGGCTAGGGCTGGGGAACGAAGACTCCTCCGCTCAGATGTCTGGTGCCTGGGCTTGGTGGCTGTCCCAGCTAAGGGCTGGGCAGGCATCTCTCTGTCTCCATGCAGCGTCTCCATGAAGCTAGCTTGGTCTTCTGTCTCCACGTAGGGTCTCCATGAAGCTAGTCCGGCCTTCTCTCTGTGTCCATCCAGCGTCTCCATGAAGCTAGCTTGGTCTTCTGCACAGCAGCTCAGCATCATTGATATTGTTACATGGCAGCTCTGGGCTCCAAGGAGACACGGAGTGAAAGCTCCTGCTCTCTTAAGGCCTCGGCTAAAAAAGACAGCTTCTGTCCTGTCCTGTTGGCCAGAGTATCACAGAATCCACCAGCGTCGAGGGGCGGAGTACAGACAAACCTCGTGATCCCTCTCTAGCCTACCACCAGCCTCCACTCATCACCCCAACCACACCGAGGTTCCAGGGAGAGTAAAGGGTGCTTTGTGTTTGGACAGAGATTCCAGCACCAAATAAAAGAGATACGGGGCAAGGACAGAGGCCAGGTCTAAGGACGTTTCCTTGTTGACTGTGAATCTACATAGCTCCTGTCAGTTTCTGAGTCCAACCCCATCACCTCAGCTCCCTTGGGGTGAGCTTGCCTCTTCCCCGTCTCACGAGGAAGTCTCATAGGATCTTCTAGACCAGCGGTTCTCAACCTGTGGGTTGTGACCCCTTTGGGGGTCGAATGACCCTTTCACGGGGGTCGCCTAAGACCATCGGAAAACACATATATAATTACATATTGTTTTTGTGATGAATCACTATGTTTTAATTATGTTCAATTTGTAACAATGAAAATACATCCTGCATATCAGATATTTACATTACGATTCATAACAGTAGCAAAATTACAGTGATGAAGTAGCAATGAAAATAATTTTATGGTTGGGGGGTCACCACAACATGAGGAGCTGTATTAAAGGGTTGCGGCATTAGGAAGGTTGAGAACCACTGTTCTAGACCAATAGGTTTTCCTTCAGGATGGGTCTGTTTTGACCTCTTACTTGGACCTTCAAGAAGCAAAATCAACCCAAGTGACTTTCCTAAATCTCAGATGTTTCTCAGGCCAGAGTTAAATTTTAGAGCAGCATTTTAATGGGCTTTCAGCATGAAAACTTCAGACCTGCCCCCCTCCTCCGGTCTGGTCTCCCTCCGTCCACTCAGCTGGGAGGACGGTTCGCTAGCCTGGGGAAAGCACACTTCCTGGTAACTTCCTTCTTCACGCACATTGGGTGGACACCTGGGGTGTGTCCAGCAGCCTGCTGGACTTGTACTTGCCAAGGTTTGCCATTTCTGGAGCATATAACCTGGAAGAGATATTTCCCCACATCAGGCTCAGCAACATTTTCAACTCAAGAGCCAACTTGTTGGGAGCCCCTGGGCGGCTGAATGGAACCATCTTCCGGGTACGGAGGCGACTCTACGCAAACCCCCCTCAAGGGTGGGGCCTGCCCTGCTCTCCACCTCCGTTTCCTCCTTTTCACAGTTTAACCCCAACTTCTGACTGCCCCCACTTCACATGGGCACCTGGACCCTCACGCTGCCCCCAGGAGCTAGAGTGTAAGGGTTCCCTAACCTGAATTCGGCTCTCCAAGCTGGATTCATTAGAGGCAGAAGTTTCTGGGCTGGTTGTTCACCAGCCCAGCTTGCAGGTGCCCCAGTAACTGTCGAGTAACTGAGAATAGCCCCCAAAAGAAAAGGACAGGTTTGCTCTGTGTTCAAAGAACCTGCAAACTGAACCCAGGAAATGCCGGTCAAGGCATGTCAGGAGCAGGAGAGTCACGCTGGCGATCGGTGCCCACGCTTGACGGTCACTGCCTCTCATCAGACCCTGAAGCTCAGACAGTGAGAGGCGAAGGGCTTGTATAGGGGTTGCCAACAGATGGGTTAGGAAGTAGTTCAGAGGCTAGGCCAAAAGGACTTGCTGAGGAGCAGACGTGGACGTAGGAGAATGTTAACAACAGTTGCCTTATGTGGGAAGTATGTGGATCTGAGCAGTTACGCTTTGTAAAAACCCTGGCCCAGTGCCGGGCATCTAGAAAGCCCCCCTCGCTGTGCCCCTTCTCAGATCAGACGGAGAGGCCTGAAGGGCTCTGGGAAGAGCCCACAGAGCTCTACAATGTCCGAGGAGAAGGGCTGTGGGCTGGGGGCTGTGGAGTGTTCTGGCACAGCAGGCAATGTCCCAGGAAGACTGGTTCCCCTCACTCTGGGAAGCACTTCTTCCTGCCAGCACGCAGGCTGCCCATGGCCAGGGGGGTCTCCCTGTCTGGTTCTCTCCGCAGCGTGCTGGACTTGCACTTGCCAAAGTTTGCCATTTCTGGAGCATATAACCTGGAAGAGATACTTCCCCACATCGGACTCAGCAACATTTTCAACTTAGGAGCCGACTTGCTAGGAGCCCTTGGGCGGCTGAATGGAACCATCTTCCGGGTACGAGGCCACCGGGCCGGGCAGGTGGGAGGGGGTCTTGTCCCTCTTGACACGAAGTGTAGATTTGAAAGTCAAGTTCTCCTTTCTCCTTCCTATGCTGGTGCTTTAATGCCACAACCTGTGAGGCTCCCTTTCCCGGCAGCACCTTTTCCAGCTCTCTCTCCAGTCCTCAGAGCAAGGAGACAGAGTCCGGAATAGAGATGACACATTCGGTGACATCAGGTGTGGGACAACTTTGCTCTGTCTCCTACCCTTCCTCCTAAGACAGGGCTGAGGCGAGCAGAGGGCCAGCACTACAGACAGCCGGTTCCACGGAGCGCATCTGAACCGCCGACTGAGGCTGAGCAGGCCATTATAGAGATGAGGAAACTGAGGCTTAGCGCGAGGAAGTGCAGCTGGTGGTGGAAAATGATACCTGGGCCTGTGCCACATGCTCCCGGGGGCTGAGAACGTTCTGGAGGGCACTGCTGGGTTTCTGCGGCCTGGCTCAGGCTCGCTGGTCTCCCCACCACGGAGCAAATGCACCTTCAGGGTGAGCCCCCAGAACATGGCAGGGGGAAGATGGGGAGAGGAGGAAAATAACACGAAGCTGGAGGTGCCGTCTTGGAAGGCAGGGCCTGGGAGACCTGGATGCTCTGCCTGCCTCTCCCGGTGCCCCACAGGGCAGACTCTGCCCTTGGAGTGTCCTGAGCTGTCCCTGCCCTCTCTTCTCCTCTAGGTGTCGCACAAGGCAGCCATGGACATGAGTGAGCGGGGAACCAAGGCTGGGGCTGCCTCCGGCCTCCTCTCACAGCCCCGGCCTCTGAACGTGACGTGGGCCCCCCACACCCGTTTCAACAGGCCTTTCCTGGTGCTTGTCTGGGAGGTGACCACCCAGAGCTTACTCCTCCTGGGAAAGGTCGCCAACCCAGCTGCAGGCTGACGCCGGGGAGGCACGAGGGTCCTGTCGCCCCTGCAAACCCGCAGGCAGGCCTCAGCCACCCGCAGGCCGATGGGAGGAATGTTCATCCGTGTGCAGAGGCCCGAATAAAGTTGCCTTGGGTGTTGTGAGCACTGAGAGCAATGCTCACAAGGAAGGTGGCTCCGCGTTGCCCTTCATTCGCCCCACAATCCCCTTGAATCTAGTGTCGCTTCACCTGTGGTCAAAAAGTTGACAAAGAGAAGAGCTCCATGTTATGTCCTGGAAGATGGCCACACCACCGTCACCAAGTGTCCCAGGAAAAGGCACAAAGGACATCAGGAGAAATCAGAGTCTCCCCCTTCGCAGTGGCCACCGTCAGCTCTAAAGCAAAACGAGGTTGTCCTGAAACGTCACTGCCCAGGCGCCAGGGCAGATCCCTTGGGAGGTGGGTGCCAGAGCAGGCACCTGGCACCATGCTCCATGCAGAGGAGGGTGGGAGGATGGGCCAGTGCACAAATGGACCAGTGCAACATGGGAAGTCACATGTCCAAGGGCAACCCAAGGTCAAAGGAAGTGGGAGCGTTAACATGGCCAGGAGCCAACGGGTATAGGCCAAACCCATGGTTAGAGGGACGGACTGGGGCAGTATCTGGTCGCCATGGAGCATCCTGCAGAGGTCAGAAGTCCCTCGCCCACAAGTGTGTCCCTGAGTCTTAAAGAGGCACCTGCCTGAAACTGTGGGAGACGCAGAGGGATGCCACCTCAGCTGCATGCACAGGGTGGACCACCTGCTGCAGGAAGATGGGCGGTTAGGAGGCAAGTGGGGCGCGGAGCCTTCTCCAGGGTGCAGAAAGGACAGACAGGAGAGCTTGCTCGTTGGCTCACATGCTAACCCGCGGGGTCTGCACTCATGGGTATAGTTTCCAAGGCCAAGTGTCAGACTCAGTTTGTGGGCCACCAGTTTTCAATCCCTACACAATGTTCAGGCCACTAAATGTTTAAATAATATCAGGACAGAGAAGTCCATCCACTTACACCAAATAGAGTAAGATTAATGAGGCAATACTGGATCATAAGAGTCTGTGGAGGTGCCTTGATCAACTTTGTGTTTGGGGAGGGGGGAAATGTTTGTCAAAGAAATGGGGATCCCTCAGATAAAGAGGGCTAAAGGGTAACTTAAGCCTGTGTCTTATCATCCACCATTTACGAGAGAAGCAGAGAGGAAAAACCCACACTCACTGCCTTAAAGGCTAGTGCTGCCCCCTGCTGGTTAGAGAGGGTGGCTGATACATTCCCTCTTCTCCCTAGAGCAGTGGTTCTCAACCTTCCTGATGCCGTGACCCTTTAATACAGTTCCTCATGTGGTGGTGACCCCCAACCATAAAATTATTTTCATTGCTACTTCATAACTGTAATTTTGCTACTGTTATGAACGTAATGTAAATATCTGATGTGCAGGATGTATTTTCATTGTTACAAATTGAACATAATTAAAGCATAGTGATTAATCCAAAAACAATATGTAATTATATATGTGTTTTCCGGTGGTCTTAGGCGACCCCTGTGAAAGGATCATTCGACCCCCAAAGGGATCAAGAGCCACAGGTTGAGAACCGCTGCCCTAGAGGCTGGGCTGAGGAACAGCTGTGGGAGGGGAAGTTAAACCTGAATTTCAACAAGTAACCTTTTAGTGTAAATATAGCCCATGCAATATTTGGGACACACTTGTACTAAAAACTTTTGTTTATATAATTTCAAGAGAACAGGGTACGCTGTACTTTTACTTGCCAAATCCAGTAACCCAGGGAGGAGTGTGTACGGTCAGCACTAACGAGGGGTCGGAAGAAAATCCATTGAGCTAGAGGGCAGACTGGTCTGGCATCGGGGTGGAGGGACCAGTGAGTCTGGTTAGAGAACACAGTAGGGCTGACAGAATATCCAAGGAGGCTCCCCGCCCCCCAGAGGGGCTCAGTTCGCACTGGAAAGGTGCTGTTGCAGCCACTGGTGTCAGAAGCACTGGTTCTCCGGGGCCAGAGCTGGTCTGCAGCCCCTGGGCCATCGGGAGGCAGCTGTCCAAGGCACACAGGCCACAGCCGGACATACAGAGGGAGTGAGGGCTCTGGTGTCAGTGTCAGGAGGACCATAGCGTCAGAAGGGCCACAGGACACAAAAGTCCAAAGGGGAGGGTGGGCAGAGGGAATGGGGGCTCCAGTGTGGACAGGAGGCCTACAGTTCATGAACTGTGTGGAGGGCGCTGGGTTGTGGCGGTCACAGCCAGGCCAGGTGGCCGAGGGACTGCACATATCTAGCACATCCTGGATGTCCTCACACCCTCACTGCAATCCTCCCTTCATCCTCCCCCCACACACACCAACCACCACCAGCCTGAGCAGGAGCCAGAAGCCACAGCGGAAGCCAGCCTCCTCCTGCAATGCCCCTCTAGCATCCCCTACTGAGAAAGCTTAGCAGGCCCACCGAGCAGGGAAAATGCTCACAGGAACCAAGGCCATGGTCACAGAGCCCGCATGGAAGAATAAACTCAGAGAGGCCCTACATCGATACTGATCAGACCCAGGAGGAAAGAGGAAGTGGCTCACTCACTGAAACCGCTCAAGATAAAGTTAATTACTTGAAATTTACAGAGTATGATACTGCATATATATTAGTTCTCTTTTATTTGAATATACTGCTCTATTCCTAGACTAGAGGCCTGGTGTACAAAATGCATGCAGTGGGGGGAGGGGGAATGAGGGGTCCCTCAGCCTGGCCTGCGCCCTCTCGCAGTCTGGGAGCCCTCAGGGGTCCCAGGACCCCTTGCTCCTTATCATCCACCTGCTTGCTGCTCCTTACCACTCAGCTCACTGCTCCTTAGGCTCCCGCCACCGCAACTGCATTCGCCGGCCGTGAGCCCGGCTTATGGGTGAGAGGCGCTCACCCTGTGTGAGCACACTGACCACCAGGGGGCAGCTCCCGCGTTGAGCGTCTGCCCCCTGGTGGTCAGTGCACATCATGGTGACTGATTGTTCCCGGTCATTCAACCATTAGGGTCAACTTGCATATTACCCTTTTATTATATAGGATACTAGGCCCTATATTTAGTGTCAGAAACATATAAAAACATGTTAGAATGCTATTTTGGCTCATAGAATTTCTGAAAGAGAGGTTCTGAAATAATGCTCCCATATTAGTAGTACTTTGGTTCTGCTGGTCTAAGGCTGAAACTGGGTTTTCCCATAAGGAGTTCAACTCCCACTCAGCCCTTTTTCTTTATTTCTTTTTAAAATATATTTTTATTGATTTCAGATAGGAAAGGAGGGAGAGAGAGATAGAAACAATGATGATGAGAGAGAATCATTGATCGGCCACCTCCTTCACACCTCCTACTGGGGATCAAACCTGCAACCCCGGGCATGTGCCCCTGACCGGAATCGAACCTGGGACCCTTAAGTCCACAGGCCAATGCTCTATCCACTGAGCCAAAACAGCCAGGACCAGCCCTTTTTCTTTTTAATCTTCACCCAAGGATATATTTATTGATTTTATGGAAAGAGATAGAGAAAGAGATAGAGAGAATTATCAATGTGAGAGAGAAACATCAACCCATTGCCTCACATACACACCCCAACCCGGGATCAAATCCACAACCTAGGTATGTGCCCTGGCCGGGAATCAAACCCACAACCTCTTGGTGTATGGGATGATGCTCCAACCAACTCAGCCACCCAGCCAGGACTCCCTCTCAGCCCTTATGTGCTTCCCCTGGCCCATGGCCCCTGGGTGGCATGACCTGGCCTCTGAGCTGGGCCTGAGGCTCCTCTCGGCTCCCACTGGCCCACTCCCAGGAGTTGTCCAGAATCCCAACACGCCGGTGATGTGCGTCTTATCCTCCCCAAGTCACGACCGTTCCCATCACAGATCAGTGTCCTGCAGCCACAGCAGAGGCACCGGTCACACGCTGCTTGCCATGACCCCCGCGGTGGCACCCCAACTGGCATAGCATCTGTCATTGGCTCTCTTTTGTTTTCTGCAGGAAGAGACACTTACATAAAGCACCTGCACGTCTTGAGTGCCATGTAAGTGCTATTTATTTACTTACTTATTAAATCTATTTTTATTGATTTCAGAGAAGAAGGGAGAGGGAGAGAGAGAGAAACATTAGGGATGAGAGAAAATCATTGATCAACTGCCTCCTGCACGCCCCACACTGGAGATCGAGTATGCAACCCAGGCATGTGCCCTGACCGGGAATCAAACCGTGACCTCCTGGTTCATAGGTCGATGCTCAACCGCTGAGCCACGCTGGCCAGGCTGTAGTGTTACTTAATAAATACAAGTAGATCCTTGCTGCGTTGCCTGAGGACATTGCCTGGAGGTTGCTGCTTCTCTGAAAAAGGGACCCCGACAGGCGCCCTCCTGTGGCGGAGCAGGTTGCATACGCACCTGTGTCCCCTTCTCTGGGGTTGAGGATATTTCCACTCGCAGCTATTTTCCATATGAAAACAAATATCAAGTAGGGCGAAACTTGCAATTGAATGAAAAATGAGGTAAAAAAATTCAGATGCTGCACTGCACCCCAGAGCAGGTGCGGATTCTGCCAGGGCCGGGCATCGGGAGGGGGCCGGGGACTCGTCCCTCCGTGGACGCCGGCTCGCGCTGAGAGCCTGTTCCTGCGAGTCTTTCAGAAGGAAAGGCTGGGAGCGTGGCCAGCCCCCCACTGACGCCTGTGCAGGAAGCCACGCCAGAGGAACTGCCTGCGCATCTGTGCCTCACACCTGTGGAAGGTCAAAACGGAAACACAGGCCTTTGGGCTGGGCCTACGCAGCCTGTTTTCCGAAGAACTGTTTGCAGAGACGACAAGAAAGCAGTTACTATGACTCTGGGCTGTGAATGAAAACACTGTTTAGAATTAGCATCACTGTTACGTGATCTGCACAACAGGAACGCGACCTTCCACTGATGTCATCATCCCAGTCCCTCCTCACAAATGCCCATTGTCTGTCTCCGAATGGAGCACTGTGTGGCCTTCTGCCTGAGTCTATGTTCCCCCAAACAGCTACTCCTTATTTTTAAATCTCAAGTAAATGTTGCTGCCTCTCCCTCTCAAAGGCCTTTTTGTTTCTGGGTTTACAGTGTCAATAAAATCAGGGTGTCTTGGGTGCGATTTATTCAGCCCTGTAACTACCTACCAAAGCCCCCCCCCTTCCCCCAACACCAGATGAGCACCTCTGGGGTTTTAGAGCTAGAACAATCCATAGCAGCCCGGGTCACTCGCACAGGGTGGGGCAAAAGGAGGCACACAGCTGTGAGTCTGGGGAACACGGCGTGTCCTGGTACTACTGTGTGTCAGTTATCACATTCTTTTCCATCCCAACTATAATCCTACTTTACCCGACCCTGTACTTAGTCACTGATGTCTTCTCGCCGAAGACC